GAGGGGAGGGAGAGAAACGCAGAGGGTGAGGAGGAGTGGCGTGGGGAGGGGAGTGGGGAAAGGGGTGGTGGAAGGATAGCTCCATTCTCTTGCTTCCCCTCCTGTGTCCCACCCCCCCCTCTCTACCCACTCTGCCCCTCCTCCCCCCGCATCCCCAGCTTGTAGGGACTTTTACGGAGGGGAGTTCGGACGAGAGGGTGTATTGCAGCATCGTTGATGTATCTTCGGTTTACTCTGGCCCTCCTCCTCTTTGTTCTACTCCACCCCCGCCTCCTCTTACCGCTTCTGCTCCCCCTCCCCCAACTCCATCTCCACCTCTCCGTTCTCCTCCTGCCCCCTCCTCTCTTCTCCTTCATCCTCCTCGTCGTTTTTCCCTTCTCCCCCTCCCCTTTTCTTTTCCTTTTCCCTCGCCTTGTTCTTCCCCTCCCCTCTCTTTTTGGGGCGTCTCTCCTCTTCCTTCTCCTCTCTTCCTCCTCTTCTGGCCTTCTTCCTCCTCTTCTTCCCCCTCCCCCTCGTCGTCGTCGTCGTCGTCGTCCTCCTCCTCCTCCTCTTCCTCCCTTCTCCTCCCTTCTCCTCCTCATTCTCCTTCTCTCCTCCCCGTCCTCCTCCCTTCCCCTCATCCAGTCCGCCGGAGGCCGTGTGGCGCGTGCTGGAGCTGTGGTACTTCGATGTGCAGCTGCTGGGCGGCATGGTGCTGCACAGCGGCCGCCTCGCCGAGATGAAGACAGGCACCGGCGCTCCAACCTGCTCTTTTGTCCTCATTCCTCTCCCTTCCCTTCGTCGGCATCGTCCTCCTCCCTTCTCCCTCCGTCTCCTCCTCCGCCTCCTCCGCCTCCGCCTCCTCCTCCTCCTCTTCCTCCTCCCCGTCCTCCTCCTTTTCTTCCTCCCCCTCCTCCCGCCTCCTCCTCCTCCTCTTCCTCCTCCCCCCCTCTCCTCCTCCTCCTCCTCCTCCTCCTCCTCCTCCTCCTCCTCCTCCTCCTCCTCCTCCTCCTCCTCCTCCTCCTCCTCCTCCCCTCTCCTCCTCCTCCCCCCTCCTCCTCCTCCTCCTCCTCCTCCTGCTTCTCCTCCTCCTCCTCCTCCTTCTCTTCCTCCTCCTCCTCTTTACTTATCCTCCCTTCTCCGAGCCCCTTCTGTCCCGCCTCCTCCTCCTCCTCCTCCTCGTCCTCGTCCTCCTTCTCGTTCCTCGCGAGAGGAGGGTTGGTTTGGCTCAAGTTTCGCCTCGCGGGGTCGCCTTCTCCGCGTGCCGAGACGCCCCCGATGCCGCCGACGCCGGGCGGCCGCGTGGCCGCGCCCGCTCGAGGCAGCACGTGGGGCGGTCGTCGCCGCAGATGGCCTCCTGCGCGCGGCCGCCGCCATCCTGGCGGCACCGCCCGTCCCCGCCGCGCTACCTGCGGCGGTGACTTCGCCCGTCGCTGCCCCTCGGCGGCGGCGGCGCCGCCCGCGCGGGCGAGGCGGTGAGTGCGGGTGCGGGCTCGGCGGCGCTGGCGATAGCGACGGAGCTGGAACGTGGAGGACGCAGAGGGCCAGGTGGGGTGCGCCGCGATGGGCGACCCGACGCAGGGCGAGGACAAGGTCGCAGACAGCTGCGGTCCGACGTCACGTGATAGCACCGCAGCGCCAACGGAGCTAGACGCATGGCGCCCTGGACGACGAGTGGGCCGAGAGCTTGGCGCCGCAGCTGGGCCTCCCGAGCCGCCTTCCATTCTCGGGACTACGTTATGGCGGCGCGTTCTTCTTTTTGATGGGCGTCACGGGTGGTTGTAGGGCACCCTGCAAGTTCTTGATCGCGGCAGGGATTCCCCTGTGGGCCGTCAGAACGGAAATGGAGGAGGAACGCCCTCAGAGCGTTGGAGCGCTCTGGAACGTCCGCGGCGCCCGACACATTCTCGAGACCCAGCGGCTCTCAGAGATGCTTGTCTTATTTAATCGCTTCGCTCATTCCGCCGGCCCATAATGTCGCACCGTGGTCGCCTGTCCGAGTGGTCGTTTGCAGTGTGGAGCTGCGGCGTCGGGAGCTGTATAGTTGTCGATAATTTTGTTGTTGTTTTTTCATGGGGCTTCTAGGTGTTTGCAGTTTTTTGACGGCTTTGGTGCCATCGTGGGGGCGTGTTACCCGTGGTATCCCTCTGTGGGGCCGTTCGAGCCGGGGGAAGAGACATCTTATGCGATAGGGGAACCCTCGTGTCGGAGGGTGGCGGGCTTTTGAATGCTAACATTGGCTCTGTTATCGTCCTGATGTCCTCTGGCGTTGCGGACACGGGGGAGCGATGAGAAGCGATGAGGGGCGCCTTTGCCGTCGGATGCCGTCCATTTTGCATTGGGGGAGGAGGAGGAGGAGGAGGAGGACGAGGAGGAGAAGGAGGACAGGAGGACAGGAGGAGGAGGAGGAGGAGGAGGAAGAGGAGGTGGACGAGAAAGAGGAGGAGGAAAATTAGGAGGGAGGAGGGGATGAGGAGCGATGAGGGGCGCCTTTGTCGTCGGATGTCGTCCATTCTGAATGGGGGGAGGAGGAGGAGGAGGAGGAGGAGGAGGAGGAGGAGGAGGAGGAGGAGGAGGAGGAGGAGGAGGAGGACGAGGAGGAGGAGGAAGAGGAGGAGGAGGAGGAGGAGGAAGGAGGAGGGGGATGAGGAGCGATGAGGAGCGCCTTTGTCGTCGTCGTCGTCGCCGCGGCCGCCGCCCGCCGCCGCCGCCCGCCGGCGTCGTCGTCGTCGTCGTCGTGGAGGGTCGAGGCTCGAGTCTGGAGGCCGAGCGCGGGGGAGGAGGACCACCCCGACCCGCGTTTCCCAAGTCGCGTCTGGCTGGAGTCTTGGAGGCGTCCTGGGGGCCTCCTGAGGGTTTTTTGGAGGCCTCCAGAGGGCCTTTTGGAGGCCTCTTGAGGCCTCTTGAGGGCCTCTTGGGGGCCTCTTGGGGCCTTTGGGGGCGTCTTGGGGCCTCCCGGGGGCCTCTAAGGGCCGAGAGCTCGAAATTCTGTTTCGTGAACCCCCTCTTGGGGCGTTCTTGAAGCGTTCTTGGGGCCCTCTTGGGCCGTCTTGGAGGCCTCTTGGGCCGTCTTGGAGCCGTCTTGGGCCATCTTGGAGCCCTCTTGGGGGCCTCTTGGGCCCTCTTGGGGCGATCTTGGAGGCCTCTTGAGCCGTTTAGGGGCGTCGGGGAACCGAAAAGGTTGAAACGCCCAAATCTGTCCAACACCTAAGAAAAAACATGGATTTTTGCCTCTTGGGGCCCTCTTGGGAGTGCTCCTGGAGGCCTCTTGGGGCATCTTGGAGGCTTGTTGGGTCATCTTGGAGACGTCTTGGGCCGTCTGGGGCCTCTGGGGCCGTCTTGGAGCCGTCTTGGGCCGTCTTGGGGCCCTCTTGGGGGCCTCTTGGGCCCTCTTGGGGCGATCTTAGAGGCCCCTTGAGCCGTTTGGGGGCGTCGGGGAACCGAGAAGGTTAAAACGCCCAAATCTGTTCCAAACCCAAGGGAAAACACAGTTTTTTGCCTCTTGGGGCCCTCTTGGGAGTGCTCTTGGAGGCCTCTTGGGGCATCTTGGAGGCTTCTTGGGCTATCTTGGAGACGTCTTGGGTCGTCCGGAGGCCATCTTGGGCGTCGTGGAGCGATCTGCGGGCGTCTCGGACCTCTCTTGGACCGTGTTGGGGGCGTTCTTGGGGCCCTCTTGGGCCGTCTTGGAGGCCTCTGGGGCCGTCTTGGAGCCGTCTTGGGCCGTCTTGGGGCCCTTTTGAGGGCCTCTTGGGCCTTCTTGGGGCGATTTTGGAGGCCTCTTGAGCCGTTTAGGGGCGTCGGGGAACCTTGAAACGCCCAAATCTGTCCAAAACCTAAGAAAAAAACATGAATTTTCGCCTCTTGGGGCCCTCTTGGGAGTGCTCCTGGAGGCCTCTTGGGGCATCTTGGAGGCTTGTTGGGTCATCTTGGAGACCTCTTCGGCCGTCTGGAGGCCATCTTGGGCGCCGTGGAGCGATCTTCGGGCGCCTCGGACCTCTCTTGGATTGTGTTGGGGGCCTCTTGGGGCCCTCTTGGGGCGATCCTGGAGGATCTGGGGGAGTGTCCCGGGCGTGTCTCGGGCGTGTCCCGGGCTCGAGACCCAGCGGCTCTCAGAGATGCTTGTCTTATTCTCACCCGGATTTTTCCTCAACCTTCTCTCGTCTTGCGGAGCAGCTTCACAGGAGGCCCTCGAGGCCCCACAGGAAGCCCAGACGCCAAGGAGCCTTCGATACCCCGACGACGACGGAGGAGGACGGCGGAGGAGGAAGAGGACGAGGAGGCGGAGGAGGAGGAGGAGGAGGAGGTGGCGGCGGCGGCGGAGGAAGGGGACAGGAGGTTCTGTCAGGGGTTCGTAGAGGGGGCGCTCTCCCAAGGTGGGATGAGGGAACGAACTCAGCTGGATGCTCACCTTTCCTTCTTTCCAGGAGCTGTTCAGAGCGATTTTCCTCCAACCCCACGCCTGCCCCTGCCCCACCTTGACGCCCCCCCCTAGTTCTGGAGATACAGCAGCAGCTCTCGATCCGTCGACGGCGACGGCGTGCGCGGTCTGCGCGATCGGGCGGGGGGGCGCCGGGGGCCCAAAATAGCAGGTGAGCCAGGGCGTGGAGAGTCCCCATCCAGGCCGCCCGCACGGTGCCGCAGCAGGCAGGGGCAACGGTCGGGGGGGTTAGGCTCAGGGGCAAATGCATCGACCCCCTCTCGCCCATTCATCGCAGATGGGGCTGGATACGTAGTCCAACCCGCCCAAAATTGAGCGGGTTCGCCATCGGGGGCCGATCGCCGATCTACTGTCGATTCCAGGTCTGGGATCCCCCCCCTCAGCCAGTCCCCCCGTGTCGTTCCCCCGCAAGCAGACTGGGTCGAAGGATCGCGCCGCATCGCCGATGCATCGTCGATGCGGCTCGATCTGAGCCACACTTCCCCCTCAGGGTTGACGACTCTTCTCCGATCGACCTGCGGGGATCAGGCCATGTAGATCGAGGTGCATCTACGTGAGTCGATGTAAGCCCTACTGGATCGAG